AGTTGTTAGCTGCCACGTGGGTGCTGGGATTCAAACCTGGGTCTTCTGCAAGAACAACCAGTGTTCTTAACTGCTGAGCCATCTCTCCAGCTCCTAAACGGATCTTTTCCAGAATATTATATATGTATGCCACCATGAACATAAAAAAAGAGGGATGTAGCAGACAAGAAGAGAGAGGGAGAATAAAAAAAGAAGTGGATGCTCTAATGTCCCTAGCTCATTTGTATATTTGCTGATGGAAGCCTCTCATTCTTCCATAGAGTCATTTGGTTCAAAAATACATTGATGCAGCCAACAAGAGATTCACTCACTACCACAGTCTCGAAACCCAAGCTGAGGTGAAGTGCAAAGAACAGAGGTGTAAAGACATCGGAGAAGATGATGGCCTTTGTAGAAAAAGGAAGGAAATATTCAAGGACAGGAAAAGCATGTGGAGGCTGGGTCGCTCCATCCCATAGAGGGCACAGCCTTCTGAAGAGCGGTGCATCTCTTCTGGACACACAGATGCAGCCACATGCAGCCTCTCCCTTCCCAGGCCAGGTTTCAGGATGATTTGTCAGCTTCAATATTCAGTTATGCATAGCAACGGGCTACCAGCTCTGCGCTGGGGTCCCACAGTAAACACACTTAAGGCGAATAAGGATTTATGTGGGGTAGCAAATACTCTTCAATTTCAAGATGAAAACTGAAGTGTAAGGGAAGCTCAATTTATATTCATGAATCCCATTCGTTTCTCAATTTGCTCTCCAAGCAAGACATTTACATCTGGAATGGTTTAATTGGAGGTGCCCATTTCTTTAAATTATGCCAGGGAAGGTGAGCTGCAGAAGGGTCCCTGTGACAGGTTGCTGTTTGGATGTGGATTGTGAGCTCTGGTGCAGAGGAAGACGATTAGAAATAAGGGAAGAGTGACCCAAGAATGAACCAGCAGCATCTGCCCCGGACAGGGCACATCCGGGAGAGATGGCAGAGCCCCTGGCAGCCTGTTTATCTCGTCTATTCAAATGAAAAATGTGTTCCAGTCTGTCAGTTGTTAGCTGTGACATGATCACTTTTTCATATTTATTGAGGATTAGTCAGCTATAACACATCTTACAAAATAGAAAAAGCAACACCCTTCTTCTGCCTGGCAGGCTTGCTAAGGAAATGATAAAGACATTAGCTGTTTTTATTATTTCCTATTCAGTCAAGATTGACTCGACTTTCAAGTCACGTGTGCCATTTGTTTTTCTGAAAGTGAAAAGGTTAGGAATGGACTAACGCCTCCTGGCCACTAAGGAATCAACTCCACTAAATGGAGACATTACAGAGTTCACGCTGTCTGGATCTTGTACATTTGAAAAGCCAAACAAGGCTCCTGTTAAGGTACAAGAGTGGTTGAATGCCATGGGTAGCTTGAGGGTACTTCTTTCATATGCAAGCAAAAACTGAAAAAAAACAAAACTAGTTTCTCCTGACACAACACAGTGATGAAAACTCAGAATATCCGTTCATTTGACCTGGTATTCTATTGTTGTGATTGGTATTTTCACTCTTAAGGACTTTGATAAAGGTGACACTTAGGAAGTGAATCAAAGGACCAAGTAGCAGCCAGGATTTGTGGGTTTTGGTTACCCCCACTGTTGATAGTTATAGGGGCTGAAAACAGAGAGGGAGGCAGGAGAATGGGTTTCTCAGAAACTAGTTTTCACTGCCTACCCAAGCAGTGTGATGGACATGATATATTTATCAAGTGACACATTTTGACTATGGTAGGATTACCCATGGTTAGAGTTAACAGCTTGC